TTATTCATGTCACCATCAAATGTCATTATATAGATAATACATTGTTTGCATTGGCCGAAAATAACCGAAATTCAAATCGCAATCAATTTTAATGAAAAACTCATCGCTCCGTTGAAAGTATACTATATATTATTAAAAATAATCAATTATAAATAAAAAAAAATATTATTTAAGAACAAGAGTATAATTAATAAAGTAATCTATTCAATTATTTTTATAAATGTTTGTAGTAAATAACAATCTTAAATAAACATACATTGCTAGCACTCATAAATTCTCAAATTTATATTATATTTTTAAATATATATTATATTTAAATTTCTGAAACAAGCTGCAACAATTTTTGCAGACAGCAAAAATCGTGTACATATATTTAAAAGAAAAAGTAGGCATGAAATTAGGCATTATCTTGTGATAAAAAGGAATACTTATGTTTATATCTCGTTATAAGGAATCTTCAATAACGAAGGAATCTTCAATATATCTTTTAATATGTATTATCCTCGATACATGTCAATTAAACAGAATTCTCTGAACATGTTTTTTCAGAAATGTGATAAAAAAATTTGAATTCTCTCTTTCACATCTATGTGTTTCAAATCATTGACGTAAAACTTTTGCTGACTGTGTTTGTTCGACTCTCATTTCGAACAAAGTTTTTACGAATTTAAGTCTAACTTTATAGAAAACTTTAGCACGAATCGTTAATTACTTTCATTGAGAAACTTCTTCGCAGAAATGGTCATCTGTTTTTTGTTAAAGTACGATATGATATTTCTTAAATTTCCATCTCGTGTGATTATAGTACACGCAAAATACGACTGAAAATGATCATTTAGAAAATCGCGCGTACACGAGAATTTTTATTTTCTTTTCTATATCTGGAAAAACTATTTGTTTCCATATAAAATGTGAACACTTACACATCTCAACCTTCACATGATTTTGTTAAATTAGTTCTGTGATTAAATATAGTCAAGTAAATATAATCAGCAGTCAAACGTAGGTTGAAACTTATAATTAAACATTGATTGAATAGCTGATGAATGTAACAATAAGAAGCTTTTTCCTTATATATTCATCCATGCACAGCGGAAAATTCTATGCGGAACTTTTCTTAATGAATTGTAATCGAGATTTTAATTAGATCATGGAGCATTTTTATTGCTCACCTCTGCCGCAATGTAAGCTGGAATAACGCTGAGTAATAATTGTTCCTGTTGCTCTCTCTCGCATTCAAGCTTGATTCGTGATTCGATTACTGTCTTTGTGCCGGAGAAAGTTTTGCGATGGGCCATCATTGTTAGAATCCTGTAGTACATACCTGCGAGGATAGCAGCCAGAAGGAACATGATCTCCACAACAATCTGTTAAAATATATTTTTCTAAAATGCCCAATTCGTAAATTTATTGAAGCCTATACATTTACCTGAATTAAGTTGTAATAATTCATTAGATCATCGAAAAATCTTCTTGAAATGTGCGTGAGGGCCAGAATGCAGCCGATAATGAGTGGTATTTGCCACCTCATTTTAGGTAGAATAGCGATTATTGATAAAATGCAGACGAACAAGGGCAGGACGCCTTTTAATATTAAAATTCCTAAACCGAGTATAATGGAGGATGTTAAACCTATTAAAATTCTGGACCGTTTTGAGATCATAGTCGAAGGTAACTGGGTGACCACTAAAAATGTCAAAGAGGCGATGAGCATAGTTGTTAATACCGACACAGGTACAAGATTGGTTATATTGGATAGCTCCTGAAAAATAAATTAATATTAAAAGTATTAAGGCAAGATCAATTATGATCGTATTTGTAATCAAACTTATAAAATTATTTAAAAAGAAGCAAGTTTTGTTTTTTTTAAATATTTATATAATTTTTTAATATTTAAATAATAAATATTAATTTAACTCAACACAATTTAAATAGATTTTATATTTATAACATTTTTGCTAATATAGAATATTTTTGCTACTATAGAATAACTAGAATAACTAGCATGGCATAATAAGTAGAAAATATTAAAAATTATGAATTATGTAGCAGGAAAAGTCATGTTGATGGAATGTGAAATGAAATGCGAAATATCGAAACAAACAGAAATGTACGTAGATAAATAAAAATCAAATAAACATAACGAATGTATTTTATCAAAATTTTTTTCATAAATATATCAGGATCTATTGTTCTTTAGTTTATAATTTTATTCAACTTTCTTTGTCTCTCTCTCTCTCTCTCTCTCTCTCTCTCTCTCTCTCTCTCTCTCTCTCTCTCTTTCTTTAGATCGTAAAATAAAATCGATGACTAATTTTATTTCTATTTCATCTTTTAATGTTGATAAGATACGAGAAGAAATTTTCCATCTAAGATAAATCACGTTATCAATTTTTTCTGTCCTACAAATAGCTGGCGCAAAAAAAATCAACATTGTCCATTCTCGGATCCAATCTTAGAATATGATGTTTTATACATTCTTCGCGAATCTATTGGTTTGAACAGCTTTCGTGTGTTGCCTATACTCTTTACACCTCCAATATTAATATTAATTCTTGATTTAGTTAACAAATCCTCTGTAATTCAATTTTAGGATAGGTTTATGAAGAATGCACACTATCGAGAATCACCTTGTATATCGATCCATTACAAAGCAGTATTGGAGTTTTAATTGAAAATTAATTACAGCTTGGAACATCATCTCGTAACGTCTACTCCTCGAGAAGTAATATAATGCTTCAACTTAGGAAAACTTGAACATCTTGCTAATGAGCATTGATTCTTGAGAATAGTGATTAAAATGAGAATGAAACATAGCTTAGCAAAAAATAAGAAGATAAAGGAAAAATATGAAGAAAAAAAAGAGAAAATTTTTGTTCTAAACTTTTTGATAAATAAGATTAATACAACAAAAAGTCATTTTTAGGTCATTTTTTTACTTTAAAGTGACAATTAATTATTACTTGATTAATATGAAAAAAAGTGTATAATACTTTTAATTTAAACTAGAAAAATTATGATATTTACATGATAATTAGTGAAGCAGAGAGCACCTAAAGCGATCAACGAGGCGACAGCGGCAATGCTGAGTGTTCCTGTATAGAGAGACGCCGTCAACGTTCCTTCGTATTTATCGCGAAGTTCCTGAAGTTCCTTAACACCAGCATCGTCGCCAATAGTATCACCGAGACTTTCTGAAAAAAGCATTGTTGCAGTTTAATTTTGCCACATTCATATATCGCGTGTGTGAAAGTAACGTTTGTGCGAAGCAATTGTTGGAGAACAATTCAAGGAATTTAATATACCTTGTATTTCAATGTAATATTTGATCGTTATATTGCGAGAAGATATCAAATAGATAGAAAAATGAATGAAGACATGAGATACACATATATGATTTTAAATATTTTTATATATTTAATATTATATTTAATAATATAAATAGTTCTAAATAATACGTAGATTCACTATCTCAATTTATTAAAAAAAAATATAGTATAAAATGTTTAATAATTACATCATAAATATATAAAATTATATATAAAATTGTATATGCGCAAAATAACTACTTCGGTAATAACAAATTAAATTATTTGTATAAACTCTTTATTCCGCTTTTAATTTTGTTAATAAGTATCTTTAAATAAATAATCTTTTAATGAATATCTTTAATCTTTATATTTGCTTTGACATAAATGTAACAGAGAAATACATCGCAAGTATTAATTAACATTACATTGATAGCTTAAGGCATACTATTTATTTGCAGTGTGTATGCATAGTAATAAATTCTGATACTATATTGCCGACATAATCTAACGGGGAATTACTAATTTAATACATTCTGACTTCTCTTTTGAAAAGAGCTTTGATGTCGTAATGCGTAGGACTGTAGCTAAATATGTATGATATTGCATTGTGGGCACTTCAGTCATAGGAAGGTTTAATTAATAATCTGAACGCGAACAAAATTCATGGGAGTTATACACGCAGTATATGTGTTACCCAATCATTCAATTATTTTATTAGTATCTTATTTGATATTAAGTACGGTATTGAATAGGATAAAGTATAGCTATAATAATAATAAAACTATTTTATAAATAATAATAAAATTTATGTTATAAATTATAAAAATTTATATATATTCTACAATTACAAAAATTATATTTTACATCTTTATGCATGTAGTTTGTCTCCTAATAAATTTCGGTTTATATTCTAAAAATATACAGTAAGTTGTGTATGTCTAAATATGTAAGATACTTTTGTGTAATAATTATATATAATAATTATATAATAATAATTATATTTATATTTACTGTACAATTATGTACATATGCGCTTGTGCGCACAAAGTGAAATTATCTCTTCAAATATCTTCGGAGGAACATATTATTAGGGAAAATATTGTGCATAAAAGCTGCTTGGTTTTAAAAAGCAAGAAGAAAATAACTTAGGGACGATTTTGGGTGATGTAAAATTCACAATAAAATGATATTAAATTTTTAGCCTTGAAATTTACTTATTATATTAAATTTTTTAATAGAAAGCAATATTTTTTTAATTATGCAGATTTTTATTATTACGAAATGTGTTTTTAAAATAATGATTTTATTAAACTCCTTTTTAATAAGAACATTCTGAATATGAGTTTTTAAATATTGCCGACATTAACATTGCTCAAGGTATATATTGTAGCAATTTCCTGGATATATGCTTTAATATTCAATCCTTTTTTTATTTTGTCGATAATGGATGATATATAGCGTCCATAAAATAAAAATTTATCAGGAAGAATTTTTAAAGAGTAAACAGAAAAAGGATAATAAAATAGATATCTATATATAGTGCAAAATTGACATAAACAAAAATTTAAGTAAACCGATTAAATTCTTATATTCTAAATATAAAGAAGATAAAAATAAAATTGTAGATAAAGATAGAATAATCTTTATATCATATAAAGATTGAGGTACGTAACGTTTTGTCTAATCTTAAACCAAAGAAAATAAAATATAAATATAAAAATGGAATCATTTATCTAATATATTGTTTGGAAATCGCAATGCAGTTTAATAAACGTTTTTATCTATTATTTAGTACATATTTTAATAAACATTGGCCAAATACATTGTCAAAATTATTTATACATTATTTCTTATATATTAAATTTTATTATAATATTTATATACGTTATTTTTTATACATTATTTTTATAATAATAGTGACAAAATCTTATTATGAAGTAATAATGCAATTACAATATGAATATTACGTTTGCACAACTTTGCATGATAAAAGGAATGCGTGTCGAGTTATAAGAGCAAATGAATTGCGTTACTATATTTCTCATAAAGCATTTCGCTTATTAAAAAATCTAATATATTGTATTTTATTATTGTATATTCCCACCGGTAGATTTTATTTCATTTTAAGATAAAAGAAAAAAATTAAGTTGTCAAAATTATTCACAAGACTTCATGACTCTCAAGGTTGTTTCGTGATAATGTCCCATCGATTCATAAATATAAATTTGATATGTGTGAATGATATACGTGAGAAGGGAAAATATTTTGAAAAATCAAATATCGAGCGTGTCAATATATATCAGTATAACAAAATGTAAATAGCAAAAAATTTTAATTATCAAAATGTCAGCAGTTACATTTTTATTATTATTAATATATTTAAACAATATTTATGAACTCATAGATATTATATTAATATTAATAATCTATTTTAAAAAATGATAAGAAAGATATCAAGTAAATACATCATTTAAAAAAAATAGTATTCTTAAATAAACAAAAACGTTGTAACAATCTTTTCGTATATAAAAATTTAAAAACATTTCAAAACATATAATAATTTTAAGCAAAAATTTTGAAAAGTATATTACAATATTTATTATTTTGTTTAAATATATTTTTTCTAGAAAAGTATGTTGCATCAATTAAAATTAAATTAAATCAACATTACATTAGGTATACATTTTATTTTTAAATCATTTTTAATTCTTTAAATTTCAGTATTTTAAACAAAAACTATTTATAATAGCTTTAGGATAATTCATTAAATGCAATGGAACATTGTTTATTTTATTTTTATCTAGTTTAAAACATTATGACTTATACACAAAATGCACTTTTATATATAAATACGCACTTTTATTTTTGAAATTCTACATGTAATATGAATTATGTTAAACTTAACATCGTCATGAACGCATTCTTCACATACAAGTCTATATAACTGTAATTTTTAATTGATTTTTGTTATAATTTTACTATTTGTTATAATTTTTTATAGTTTATCAATTTTGGTAAATGGTTTAATCAATTATTTAACTATTCATTACTGTTGTAAATGTTTGTTAAATAAAAAGGCGCAGCTCCCGTTTTGCGTGATCGAGGTACTCTGCAAGTGCATTAACTTAATTGATAGAAATTGTCGTCGTGTCGGTGACTAAACGAATCAACCTAATCTGTTAATGAAACAAACCGCATTCAGACACGCGATCACAACTAATAGTTCAATGAAAACAAGGAAAACGTCGTCGATGATTCTAATTAGCTGCTGCTCTTTTATGTTGACGTTCGCTGTTTGTATGAAAGCAATTAGGCACCTTGTCAAAGTGAATACGCTCAAAATCATCATGATTTCATTCTATTGCTACGTGTGTATCTCCATCGCGTTATTTCTGTAATTCGCAATACGTGTAAATCATGATAATATTGCATGACAACGTAATATTATATGCCTGATATTGTGTGCGTAACAATCAACTATAAATGAGATAACGACAATACATAATAAACATAATATAAAGAGAATAAAATTAATTATGCTACGCATATAATGTTACTTAAATTTTTATTTATATATTCTTGTTATTACTTATTTCTAATAAATTAATAAGTTTCGTAAAAGTTTGTTATACAATATAACTATAAATGACACACCTAATAATATACACAATGCGATTCATATATTTCAATACAAAAAATATAAAAAAAAATAAAAAAAATAAAATAAAGAACATAAAAAATATTTTAAATATTTTAAATATTTTTTTATTTAAAATAGGATACTTTACAATCAATACACTGTTGTGGTCCTGTTTTCAATCTTTGCATCAAATATAATATTTCTTTTTTGTAATCGTCTTTAGTTAAACAATCACAAATGTCACCGGTCGAATTTCTGGCATATCAAATTTTTTATCATTCAACTGCAAGTTCTTAATTTCAAAAACAAAAAATAATTAAAGGGATATAAATGAAGAGAAAAAACGGAGTGATATTATGATATTTTTTAAGCCATTCAACATGTTTCAGAAATTCAAGCTAACCTATAAACTGATGCAATTATGAAAAAAAGACGATATAAAGGTTAAAAATAAAAGCAGAACGTATTGATTGTAAAGAATCGCATTTCAAACAAAATAATGTTTGAAACATTTTTCTGACATGTTTTTTATTTTATATCATTTTTATTTCAAATTTAATTTATAGACTGCATACAATTATTATAAACAATATATACTATTATTTTCTAACCCAGTTACAGTTGTATATTTCTTGTAAAATGGATATTACATGACATTTTATAAGAATTTTTATATATACATTTATACATATTTCTCTTTTTTCTTTGACAAAGATCATCACAATTTGTTGTGAAATATAATGTATAATTTATTGTGACAAATCATATACAATAATTAGACAAATTGAGAAGAATTTTTCAGATACAGAGAAAAAGAGAAAATAATTGATTTATTTCTTTGCGTTCATGGAGTTTTCAATATCTTCTGTTCGCAGGTTATTTATTGTATAAAACATATTCGCATAAAAATGTAAAAATTATTTTTCAATTTCTTGTAAAAAGTTCAGGGTAAAACTGCCATTGTACATATACTCTCATATTAGGTTTGGGAAAAAGTTCGTGGCGTTTTTTAAATGCCATCTAACGGGAAAAACGCCACGAACTTTTTCTCACACCTAATATTTTTAATACAAATATTTCTGCTAAAACGTAAAACTATCAATTCTTCTTTGTGTTATCTCAGTTCTTCCAATATTAGCAATCCATACTAATGTTGCTCTTGTAATAAACAAGTTCAAAAATGCATCAACAACAAGGGAATAAGATTGCGAAGTTCATAAATCTTTAGCATCTCAAATAATGC